AGCGTAGGTCTCGTGATTGACTCTCCCATGAATGATGGGCATCCCCAGATACTTCCCCAAATTATTCACACATTCATAGCCCATCGAGGAGTCCATGGCCTACGCAACATCCGTGGGGACATTCTTCGAGAAATAGGTTTTGGTTTTTGTTGTACTTACTTTTAAGCCCGATGCTTGACAAAACTCTCCCAGAACTTCCTTTAAGCAAGTGGCCTGATCATGCGTTGCCTCAGTGAATAAAAGTAAATCGTCCGGGAACATTAAGTAAGGGATCTTCACTTTACCACGGCCTAGAGAGATCGGCTTCCACTTTTCATCAGTAACGAAACGGTTAATAGTCAAGGCTAACTGTTCCATGCATAATACAAACAAGTAGGGGGAGATCGGATCACCTTGACAAATCCCCCGAGTCGGGCGAACTCCTCGCTGGAGCTTCCGTTCCATGCTAATTGCATGGTAGCTGAGGTTACACATGTCATAATGCTTTTCACGAAAGCTCGGGGAAAACCGGCTAAAGAGAGTGTGCTTTCCACAAAGTCCCATCTCAAATAATCGTAGGCTTTCTCAAGGTCCACCTTGACTACCATGTAGCCCTTTTTGCCCGCCAGATTCCTCATGGTGTGAACTAGTTCTTGGGCGATGACGATGTTGTCGGTTATGTGCCTGCCCGGGATGAAACTTACTTGAGCTGGACCAATCAAACGTGGCAATAGTCCTTTCATTCGGGTTGTTAGCACTTTTGTAATGATCTTGTACACGACATTCAAGAGGCTTATCGGCCTGAAGTTCTTTATTGTGCTCGGATGATCAACTTTGGGAATAAGTACAATTAAGGTTTTATTGATCTGCCGGGGCATACCTCCTTCTTGCAAAATAGTACGAACAACAGTACAAACTGACCTCCCCACGATGTTCCAGTGCTTTTGGAAGAAAAGCGCATGTAGTCCGTCCAAGCCGAGGGCTTTTAGCGGGTGCATTGAGTTTAAAGCCTGTAAGATCTCAAATTCCGGTACCTCCCTGGTAAGTCTCTGCCATTCCTCCATCGCTATCTTTGGGAATGCCACTGGAGTCGGCCCCATGTCAGTTGGTGGGTGACTAGCCGTATATAATTTGTGGAAGAAACCAAGGGCGATCTGCCGCAAGGCATTCTGGTCATTGACCATTCTCCCTTCTTCGTTTCGTAAGGCCGTGATTTTATTGCGGTGTCGTCTTTGCTTGACCGATCGGTGGAAAAAAGTTGTGTTACGATCCCCGAATAAATTCCAGTCTCTTTGGGACTTTTGTAGCATAAGCAGCTCTTCTTGAGCTAAAACTTCCTCCAGTTCTGTGTTTAGTTCCTTCTCCAAACTGAGAAGTCTATCGGTGACGTAAGATTGTAGATGTCGTTGCACACCTCCAAGTCTAGCCAACAGGCATTTTTTCCGAAGGAAAATATTACCAAAGACGTGAGTGTTCCAATCCTGGGCTTTATTGGAGAAATTAGCTGCAGCAGATATGTAGTCCGGGGAGTTCCACGTTCTTTCAACCAGATCCCCGAATTTTTCATGCAAAAGCCACGACGCTATAAACTTGAAAGGCTTCGGGCCCCTCGTATTGTCTTTGAATTGTCGTCTGCACTTTAACAATAGTGGAATATGATCGGATTTATGGCGCGGTAGGTGAGAGACTATCGCCGAGCCGAAATGATCCATCCATTGTTCATTTGCTATTATACGGTCAAGCTTTTTCTCAATATTTGGCCCAAACTATGTGTACTGAAAGCCGTCTGTTTTGGCTTCCAAAAAATTATTCTCGAAACAGCAGTCGGAGAAACCCGTATCAAAGGAACGACCACGAGCTCCCCCTCTTTGCTCTTTCGGACTCAAGGTGCAGTTAAAATCACCACCAAGGACCCATGGAGATCAGATACCACTCGCAAGAATACCCAGAGCATCCCAAAGGTCACTTCTACCTCTCGGGTTTGGGCTGGCGTACACGAAGGTGACCAGAGATTCGTAGTCCTCAGATTTCACGAAGGCATGGACAAATTGTTTGTGACACTTTAATACTGTTAACTCCACCCTCTCAGTCCACATGATCCATATACCTCCCGAGAAACCGAGTGCCTCCACACGGAAAGAGCGCTCATACCCGCTCCGTTTCACAAATTTATCAGCTTTCTTTCCACTCACACGTGGTTCAAATAGCGCCACAATGTCCGGTTTATAGTTTAACTTAAGAGTTGAAAAGATCTGGCTGAAGGTCGGCGAGCCAGCACCTCTGACATTCCAGAACATAATATTCATTGGCAAACTCAAACAGAAAAGGAGAACTCTCCATTAGCAAGCGTGGAATACGACGGAGTTGTCTGGTGTCTCCGCGACCATGGTGTCTTCCAAAACTTCTTCAATTCCAGGTTGCGTTGGAGGGGGGGAGTGTGATCCCTCAACCATCATGTTATCTCCCGGGTCATGAATAATTGGTTGCTCAAGCATCCCGTGGTTGTCGGTGATACGTACTGCTGTATGATAAGTTGGGTCGAGGTTGGAGACGACTGGAACTACATGGGTAAATTGATTAAGAGTCAAGTCCACTATGTCCTGTTGGGTTCCAAACTTTCCCTGGCCAATATTATTAATACGCCCATTCCCCGCATGGCCCAAATTATCTCCCTCCCGGTCCTTCTCAGTCCCGCTTAGTGAACTAGCCCTTCCCCTCATGTACCTCTCCTTGTCATTCATTTGGTTGGACGTGTTGGGCCCATTATCATTATCTCCCCCTGGTCCAGCTACAAATGGGCCCAATGCTCCAGCTTGGCCCAGTATTTCTCCCATTTTAGCTTTCCCCCTGTCTTTCTTAAAATCGGATATTGGTCTCCATTTCTCTTTGCCTCCTCTCTATACCGCCCCTTGTTTAGTTGAGAAACTGATGTTCTCTGTACTTTCCTCTTGCAGGTCCTCAAGGGTCTCAAATCGTGATCCCACATTAAAGGACACTCCCTTCTGCGGAGGTACCTTTGCGTTTACTACTTGATTCCTCCCTCCGCTCGATCTTCTCCCTTTTTGTGCCTGCATCCATGGGCCGAAGCTTGAGGTCTTGCTGGTATCTGGGTCTACCACACCAACATTATCATTATTCGGACGCTTCGTTTCTCCCGGAGTACTAGCAGGTTTGGGGGCGTTTGGCTCAGACCTCTTCGGGCAATTGCCAATTTGGTGACCATAGTGCCCGCAGTGGTAACAAATTTCTGGAAGACTTTCATATTCAACCCATTGTTGTTTGCCTTGAATAGTGAACTGTGCACACAACGGTTTAGTTAGGTCGAGGAGAACAGCGATTCTCGCGTATTTGCCCCTCGTTTGCGTTGCGGTTTGGTAGTCAAGCTTGACTACTTTTCCGACGATCTGACCGATAGAGCGGAAGAATTTCTTGTGATATAGATGAACCGGCATTCCTGGCAGCCGTATCCACGCAACTGTGTTGGTTATTCGGTCAGCTTTCTCATCGAAATGTTCAGACCATGGTTGAACGTGCAGATAGTGCTTGCTTATCACCCATGGGCCATCAACCATGGCTTCACTGCATCCTCCTTATTTTTAAACTTGACGTAGAAGTATTCGTTCTCCAAATCCACCATTGGGCAGTCCTGAATGAAAGGCCATAGAGTGCTAAGACGTCTGTACAGCACCGGCATACTCATCGTCATCCCCAAAAGCTTGATGACCACCGCATTGTCCCAGGATTTAATTAGGGATTCCTTGAAAGAATTGGAGAGCTGTATGTTTGGTTCAGACCGACTATAGTCCACTGTGACATCATTGTCATCCTCCGAATCCTGTTCCTCCTCTAGGGTCATTGCGACATGGGGCCGATTTTTGGTTAGCGTATCCCGAAAGCTAACCCTATTTCCAGCTGTAAAGCTCCCCGGTACGGCGACCGGTGTGTTAATTCCGGTTGCAAAGCCTCCCTGTACAGCAGGTGTCGGGTGAATACCCGTGGAAAAAAACAGTAGTCGGGTTGTCGGTCCTGGTTAGGGTTTGCTCCAAAGGATCCCCTGTTCGCTTCAATGTCCGTGGTTTTTTCACCGATGTGCTATTTGCCAGCGATTTTGGGTTGGCTTTCCTCAAATCAGGGAATTCTTCTTGATTCTGGTTCGAACATCCGTCCCCAGGATCGAAAAGCTTCGAGGTTCCATCGGGCGCAGTAGGAATATCGTCATCCATTTTCTCAAAAGCTCGATCGTCTACCATCTGCTCGTGATTTGGGAGAAATGCTACAATCCCTTGATGGAACTATTCTTCTAAATCAAATTCCAATACAAAAACTGCCGCATCTGTTTGACTACATCTAAATGTTAATATCCAAACTAAAATATCTAATGACTTATATTGATTTGAAGGAATCTTTCCCCAACTTGTAGCATTTCCCATTAATATATATCCACCTTGCTCTAGCCATTCCAATTTTCATTTAATGTTTCGTAGTGGCCTAAATTTTCACACCAATTCATTAAATTGGTTAGTATAGAGCTACTCATCGTTAAATCGACTTAAAATATTGGGAGTCATTTGTGATTTTTTTTTTGTACAATAAGCGGAGGCTAGACCTTTGAATAACCTAAGCAACGATCCACCGAGAATATATAAGACACGCCGACCAAGTCGTTTGTGATTTGTGAAACTCCATTATAGATTTTACACATTTCAAATCTCTGGTACAGATCTCTATAACAAGTCAACCTTAGGCTATTCTAATTGTAAATTAGGCTTGACCACATATATATTATGTGACGAAAAACTTTCATTTCTTCATACATATGTGTAGGTGTATGATCACATTATAACAAGTACGTAATATATATACATTGTGGACACATATATTCACCAAGACAAAGCAAGCTCATTTAGCTTGCTACTCAAATTAACCCTGCAACTCATATGTGACTTACAAGCGCCATCGAACACAAGCTGCATGAAACTCGGCGTAACCCGTTTCCTTAAAATGTGGCCTTCTTTCTAATATCATACGCGCTTGTGAGGCTTCAAGTGTATGTCTTCAGTTGTATAATTACGGATGCCATCAGCGTTCGATGTTAGTTTTATCGAGTTATGTTTGCGCATGGGACAACAAGGACTAGTTTTCGGGAGACGAACGACTTTGATGTGGCATATTTTTTCCAAGTTTGGGATTGCGTGGAGATGCGAAGGTAGATCGATCAAGAAGTTTCCAGAATCATCCGTGCCAGTTCTAGCCCACGATTTCTTCCTTTTCGTGCTTGATCCGCATAAAACCACTACTGTTGCACCTGTAAATTTAAACAAAAAATAACCTGATTAATGAATGTAATTTGAACTTAAATTTCAATATGAACAAGAATCAAATATAAAAAACACGTAGAAAAAAAAAAACAAGAACAAAAAAGGGGCACATAATATCATGCAAACAAATAATAGAATAAATTAAAAGAAAAAAATCATGACAAACCTGACACTGGATGCGAAGCTTTCTCTATAGCACCACCGCCGTGGCAGATAATCTTTCCACCAACCACGACCGTCGAGAGCTTATCTTCCCCATAACCGGCCCACTTCACCATCTCATCTCTGCCGGCCGGAAACAAATCTGTCAAAAGATCCGATTTCCTAGCAGCCACGGCCGGTCTCTCCAAGAAAACGAGAACGATTATAGCGAAAAAGAACATCTTGCTCTTGATCACGAAATCGTCGAAATGCGAATACCCCATAATCTTTGTATTGGTGAGTTATCTTTCCTAACTAGCTTTGTACCAAAGCAAAGAAGAGACAGAAGGGGAAAATGAGGTTAGAACTACCACACCACCTTTTGGGGAGGTTTTAGGAATATATATATATATAAGGAGCCCTTTGCATGGTTCGCATGCCCTTTTCATGTTCAAATCTAATTTTTATTTGATGTTTACCTGTCCAACTTAAAGATTATTTCTTAATTTTCATAATGCTTCAAAGGTAGTGAAGGTGGTGGGGTAGCCAATTGCTATATAGGAGAATGTTACGGTCCCGTTACGAAACCCTTCCGTCGAGTTTGTAACCGTTAGATCATCATGTAGCCGTCAGAAATTGTTGATCTAACAGTTACAAATTGTGACGGAATGGTTCCATAACGGGACCGTAGCACTACAAAAAAACACTACAATTCCAACGAAAAATTCCAACGGCAAAAATTTCCGTTGGAAATTCCAATGAATATTCCAACAAACTTAATTTTATGTTGGAATAAGTGTTGGATAGTTGAGGAATTCCAACGGATTTTTTCCGTTGGAATAACTGTAGGAATTTATTTTCATAGGAATTTTCGTTGGATATTTGCTATTCCAACGGCCATTTTTTCAACGGATTTTTATACGTAGAAATATCCGTTGGAATAGCTATTCCAAAGGATATATAAAAAATTCCAACGGAAAATTTTCGTTGGAATGTAAGAGTTTTTTTTGTAGTGCAGCATTACAAATTACTAATTAGATATATATTCGTTCATGAATTAAATTAATCACATATCACTATATAATTTGTAGTTAATTGATTCAAATATATTTGAATCTCATGTCACTTTGCACCTTAATTATTTAATACAAAGACTTTTGTCATTATAAGCGTTAAATTAATACTAATTTATATTCAAAATTGCGTGTAATTAGTTTTTTATTCTTGTGTTTCATTTACATTAATTTGGTTAATTTGTGAAATAAATTTTGGAGGTTGAGAAATTTTGAAGCTAAGCTGTGGGTTGGTAGCCTAATCTTATCTCCTATTTAATTATTTAAGGGTTTAATAAATAATAATGAAACTGAGCCTTTAAATTAAGACCCATCCACGTCATTGGACTTTGGTAAACTAGCATTAGCATTCGAGTCAATTTGTCAAGCCTTCCCCAACTATTTCCATATACAAAATGCAGTTTAACAAGAATCTCACATATCCTCCTAATGGTGTTGGACCAAACAACCAAGTGTACCACTCTTTAATGAGTTAGTTTCATATATTACGAGATATTGACAAGTTCGACTCGGCTCGATAAGGCATGCAAAGAGAAATTTTATTTAATTTTTTGCAATTCTGCTCGTTAAATTTCGAGATCGGTTGGTTAAGTATCAAAGTCGCCTAATTGATAGTTATATAAATGAGTAGGGTTCGAGCTCGAGGCTCGTATACTTAACAAGTCGAGCCGAGCCGAGCTCGAGCTAGCGCACCCTGAGCTCAAGATTGGCTCGACTTGTCTATAACCCCTACCCATATCGCAATACATTAATAAAAAAAGGAAAATTACACACAATATATCAAGGTGATATCAAGATTAATTTTTCTTCATGCACCAGCTCATCATCGACAGTTGGTGGAGAGATATAGGGACCAAAAGAAGGACTTGCACATGGTGTTTATCGATCTTGAGAAGGCTTATGACAGAGTACCGAGGAATGTCATGTGGTGGGCCTTAGAAAAGCACAAAGTCCCATCTATGTACATTACCCTCATCAAGGATATGCACAAGGATGCGATGACGTGTGTTCGAACATGTGGGGGCGATATCAGCGACTTCCCAATTAAAATAGGACTACACCAGGGGTCAACATTGAGCCCTTATTTATTTGCCTTGGTGATGGATGAGGCCACAAGGGACATACTGTTCGCAAAATATTTTCACTACCCGCAAGTGTACGGAGTAGCTGCAGAAAGCGGCGAGCAAGGTCGTATTCCACAGAGACTGCTGTAAAACTAATTAAGTACCAAAATATAGACGACTAAATATTATCTAGACAAATGCAAATTTGATTGGAGTTTTTATTCTAAACTAATGAATGAATGCAAAAATAAATTCTAACACTAATGAAGGCTTACTCTAAATAAATCAAGTATGAGAAAATAGATTCTAGGCTATGCTTTCCTCGGGATTATTCTAGCAAAGTTTTCTTATTCATTCAAACCTTATTTAATTCTACCGATCGTAGGGATAATCGCTAAAGTGATTTCAACTTTTCTCTCGAACAAGCAAATCGTAGATATTAATTGCTATCTATCTCCTCTCGGTCTCAAGATGAACAACTAACTCCC